TTCTAATACAAATTCTACTTGCTGTTTTAAAAGGTTATTATTTGTTGTAGACACCATTGGCATCTCTATATGGGGCGATCGAAGGTCTTTGTGAATTAGGACCAGAAGTGATTAAAGCTCTAGTTATTCCTAAAATTAAGTCCATCTCTGAACGTATCGAATCGTGTATCGAGGGCCAAGGACTATCTAGTGTAGATAAAAATGGAGCAGGACATATCAAGACTTTACTTGTGGTATGTAAAACTAATTTTAAAAGCTGTAAGACATTTAATGTATCTACGTGTATGGAATAAAATATAGATATATTCTCGAAACTATTATTATATTCTTTTAATCTATATCTACTTCAATTCTCGATCATCCTTATATAAATTTGAGATATACACTGAGGATCGATCAAATATACTACTGCCAACTGCTCTTACATAGAGCTATGCATCACATTAAGAATAAATCTTCGTTTTGTTAAGAAATTGAGAAACTATTCTCTTCAGTCAGTTTTTAAAATTAAAAAATATTCTTTATATAATATAATTATATGATATATATGTGATAACACAAACTATAGAAATCAAAGCCTTAAACGATCTAGCTGGATCTTAATGCTTGTATGATTTTTATGTGAATTTATATATACTGCGCACGTAGAAACGCGCGCCGAAAGCATACAAAATTGCTAGTTAATTTAACTCGTGATATTACTGCGGTAATTTAGTAGAATTAGCGTTTCAAGATCGAAAAATTATTTTGGTGCGCGTACTACATACGTAGCATATAAATTCACATAAGAATCATACAAGCATTAAGATCCAGCTAGACTGTTTAAGACTTTGATTTCTACAGTTAAAATATTCTCTATTCTTGTAAAGCTGTATAAAAATTTTTTAAAGCATTATGTGCTGCGCGTGCACGCAGCTTGTCTTTTTCCATAAAAAATTAATATATCTAATATATCTATACTAATTATTCCTTTTAATAGTTAATTATTACTTTCAAAACTCTATTCTATCATATTAATTATGCATGTTGGAGATACATCGTGATGCATTATAAAAAATGTTTCTAGAAATCGGTTGCTCCAGTCTTGAAAACAATACGATCGCCACCAGATTATGTGGACGAGTATAAACAAGATTATGGATATATAGGACCTGCATTGTGTGCTGCAGTTGTAAAAGCTCGTACGCAACCGGCTGCTTTAACAACTACAGCTACAACTACGACACTTACTACAAATCAGCAACAAGGTTCTAATTGTACAGGAAAAACACTTGTGCAAACAGGTATGGAAATCGTTATCGATGTATAATAGTGATACGTGATAAGTAATACTATATTATGTTATAATATATGTTATAGTCTCCAGTTCGAGTACAGGTCAACAACCCGGCCGCACATTCATGCTTGGCACGAGCAGAAGTACTACCGGATCTTCCGCTACCGGTGGACAAAAATTTGTTATTTTGCAGTCACGCTCTCAAACTCCTACAATCTCCAATATAAATACTACCATCAATACTGGTTCGATGCAGCAGCAACAACAGCAGCAGACACAGACACAAACACAACAACCACAGCAACAACAGCAACAGCAAATTAAATTAACGCAGACTAATGTCGCCCAACAGAAGACACATGTACAGAGTTCTACACCGAAATTAGTTGTAGTGTGTATGGCCGCTAGTAGTCACACTAACACGTCAGTGACACAGGTATAATCTCTTAAATTTATTCATTACACTAAAATGTACGTTGGTTATAAAATTTAAATCACTGTATTATAAGGCTTTAATGAATATAAATTCAATTAATAAATAAATAATTCATTCGAGCAGAGTTAGATATTTTACTATTAAATATATTAGTATTAAACAAAGCCAGGAATAATAAATCAAACATTTGAATCTTTAATATAATCATTCTCAGTGTTACAAAGAGCATAAATTACACATATATCAATGAAATTTTACAAAGATTCTTATTGCTATGCATATTATTACTTTGTATAAATGTTAACACACACACATGCTATTCAGTTTCATGTATTGTTACTCATATTATGCATTTAATTATCCTTATAATTTTGCTTATAAATGATAAAATTGTATAATATGCAATTAGCGAGCGAATCGTTTAGAACAAGGATGGTCAAATTGAGAAAAAAATAACTTCAAATCCATTATACTGTCCATCTTTAACTTACTTAATCTTCAAGTTGACCGATTCACTGCAGGAACTCGAGTATAATAGATAACTTTCTCTATTTTCATTAATTACAACAATGCTTTGTTTAATACTGATACATTTATAAGTAAAGAGCTCGGCTTGAATAGCTCTTTATTTATTATTTGAAAATGTATATATATGTATATATATATATATAAT